CGAGTGGAAACCGACGTGGTGAGTGGCGCTGGCTTTTCGCCGAGAAGTCTCCCTAGACAGGCGCGCTGCGACGCGGACCAAGGGGAAACAACTCGAAAATTAATTCAATAAAAATTTGAAATTCACCGAAATTTTTTAAAAATTTTGTCGAGGTTTCCCTCAAACTTCAGTAGCTTTTTTTATGTAGCTGAAATTTTTTTGATTTGTACACCAATATTCGTTAGTACCCCTTGGACGTGACAGGCGGGATACATAGAAAGAAACTCACTAAGATTCTCCGAAACTACACAAAAAATTCTTGGTCTTTTACGAAAAATCCCCACAGGAACCTTCGTCAAGTCCCAATTTATTTCCAACGGTGGTCATTTTATCGTATGACATTGATAAACAACGTGAATGCTCAGGGGTTTTGGCCCGAGCAGCTCATCCTTTTTGTATCTCACCCTTTGGGATCTTAATGATCTCAACAAAAACGACGGAGATCAATCTTTTCTGAAGCTAACCGAAATTCTCAAATTTTTTTTTTTTTGCCATGGTTTGGTGTGTTTTTCGCAAAAATTATTTTGGCCGTAATGGCCGGGTCACAGGTTCTGAGGTGCAATAACCCCCCGCCCATTGCGAATTGGAAAACGAATGTCCATTTTGATGTGCGGTGGGGAAGTGTCTTTTTTGACGGTGTGGTGCCTGCCCCGCAGACGCAGTGCTTGCCCGACAGCGTGCTGGTCCAGGTGTTCCGACACCTGCCATTGGAGGACCTGCTGCTGTCCCGGGCGGTGTGCAGGCGATGGAGGGACCTGGCGCTGCACACGGAAGTTTGGTGCACCCGCGTCGTGGAGCTAGACTCGGATCACCTCTACCGGAGACGTTGGCTGGCTCTGAACCTGGGTCTGCCCCTGGCGCCCTGCATCCAAAGTCTAGTGGTTTCCATGAGCAAATTTCGCCTTCCCTCATTCTACTTGCCACCATCCCGTGCCCAGTGCGACATCTCAGGATAGTTTGCTCTCTCTACAGAGCGGAAGATTCAGCAAAGTTGATGATGCGCTGTGCCCTCGAGAAGATAATACGTCGGCAGGTAAGCAAGAAACGGTCTTCTCGTCATTTTCACTGACCAGGTGGTCAAGTATTGCTGACAAATTTGCATGCCCACATGAAATGTTTTGTACAGTTTTGTGGAGACATCACAGTGTTTGGTGAAAAAAACTTATCGTACAATTTCGAAAAACCGCCAAATTTCCCCTTTTTGTTCAAAATATCGTTCAAATTTGTACGAAAAGCTCGTGTGCACCAAAAACTGCGATGTCTTACTAAATTTGTACAAAAACATTTTGTGTGTGGGTCTGTGAAATAGCTGTTAGGCAATAAGCTGTGCACACTGACAAGAGAACATGTTCACGCGGTTCTCTCAGATTTCGTTCAACCTTTTTTTTCGTACGAATGCAACATAGGTTGGTGCCAAGATATATATGCACACCTGTTCCCAATATTCTTTAATCCAAAAATTTGGGGTGAAATGGTTCATGTTTTTACATGCAATCAGCAGATTTTCGGTTTTAATTAGGCAGTTGAACCAAATATGAAGAAAAGATGATCTGTAAGCAACTTATCTTCTCATTTTCGTTATAAAGGGGATCAAACTTTTAGAAAATGGTGAAAAACTCTACTTCCAATTTTCTGACGTGACAGCCGGCAATGACCTACACGCTGAAAAAGGATTTTTCCCCCGTTCTTACGGTTAAAAGGATTACAAAAAGGTGAGGACCATCTTGGCACAACTCGGGGGTGCATTCTCCCTCAATCTTATTTTTTGGGTTTTTTTTTAAAAAAAAAAAAAAAAAAAAAAAAAGGTTTGGATGAAATCTGAGTGTGCTACCTGCATATTTTCCCCTTTAAGAATGAAATAGTGATGATCAGGACTGTTTGTGGACGAGGTAGGTTCAAGGGTTTATGCTTGACTCGCGCATAGTGAGGCTTAATTTTTACCAGTGTGGATCTTTCAAAAAGAAAACATTTTTTTAGTTTAATCTTTAAAAAATCTACGTGGATTTTTAGTTGAATCTCGGGTCTGAATATGGATAGTTCAAAAGGGAAGCCCACATTCGATTTTTTTCGTCAAATCACCAACTTTTCGTTCGTGTTCGCAGGTATCCCTCCTACGGCTGAAGCATCTTGACATTATTTGGGGGGGAGTGGTCTGTCAATGATTCGTGGCTGCAAGCCATGTACAGGCTGCCTGGACTGGAGCGTTTGGTCGCGCGGATAGTTTCACAGGCAGCACGATGCCTGTGCCAACGACATCAATTGTCCCGCCATCGAAGGGTCTAATAGCCTCAGGTAACACGGTATTGCCGTACACTGAAATTCAAAGTAATATTGCACGTTGGGGCCCGCGACCCCCCCATCGCAGGGGGCAAAAAACCCGAAAAGGTAAGGCCCCCAAATCACCGCAAAAACATTAGAATCAGCCAAACAAAAAAATCGCCAAAACACAAAATGACCGAAATTGGGAAATCACACGCCAGGCCAAAAACAGTCCGAAAAATTTTTTCCAAAACAATCCCGCAATCACGTCAAAACCCTGGTGCGTCGCGAATGGCAAAAAAAAACCATGAAAATTTAAAAAAAATGGCAACATTTTTTCCGTATGTACCGAAAAAAGTTTTTTTCCCCCTCGACCTTGCAAGCCTCACCTTTTGCACCTTAAGTGCAATGTCCCAAAATGCCCTATCTAAAGCTGGGAAAAAGGCTTGCCTTTATGTGAATGTTTTCATTCACCAATTACGAAAAACTCATAGCTTTTGGGTTCTAGTGTTTAGGGAGTCAAAAAATAAAAAGAGTAATTTTTTGAAAAAACACTTTTACCCCCTCCATTTTATTTTTGGGGATATACCCACCCGAAAAGCTTAAACAAAATATTTTTCCGGCAAAAATTTATTAGCTGGTTGCCTAGTAGATAACACTTTCGGCCCAAAAAACAAAATTATGTATTTTTCCTCGAATCAAATTTTTTCACCCAAATGGCTGGGACAGGGTCCGTTCGTAAAATTGTCCGGGGCAAAATTTTTCCCCACAGATGGGCTGCGGCCATTTTCTTACAACCTAGAAAACAAAAAATGCGCATTGGACATTTGCTTTTTTTTCGGGGTTTTTTTAATTTTTTGGACATAGGCCTTTTTTTCCAGTTTATGTAATTGGCCAGTTCCCCCAAAAAAAAAAAAATTTTTTTGGGCTAAAAGTTTTTATTTTGGGGAAACAAAAAAAAATTTTTACATATTTTTTTGTGGAAGAAAATTTGCTCTACGGAAAAAAATTTCAAAAAAAACTTTATTTGATACTCCTGAGAAAAGAATCCCCCCAAAAATTTTTTTGCTACTCCAACAATATTTTCGCTTCCAAAAACAAAAAAATTCCTCTTTTTAAAAATTAAAAAAAAAAAGGGGGGGGAAAAATCGGCCGCCCCTTGCCCCTAGCCCATTTTTCGGGAAAAAAATAAACGTTCCTAGGGCATGTCGGATAGGAAATTATGGGAAACGCCGTTTTTTTCCCTATTTTTTTTTTTAAAGGGGAATTTGTTTTTCTGGGGGTTCGGGTGGAGGGGCTGTGGGTGACCGACTGGCGCCGCTCTGCCCGCAGGGCTTCAAGTGGCCCGGCCCCGTGCTGTACGGCCACGTGCTGGACTGCTGGAGCGCCACGCCGCGTCGCTCGGAGGTTCCCTCCCACTGGTACATTGGGAGGGCCTGCCCGGCGCCCTGCGTCGCCTGGCCTCCATGCCGGCGTTGCGGTCCGTGCGACTGGACCTGTCCTCCTCGGCCCCGGCCAGCGCCACCACCAGGCTGCAGCCGGCCGTCGTCGGGGAGGGGGCGGCGCTGCTGCGCGCGCTGCCGCTCACGTCGGGCCCTGAGGGTGGGCCCGACCTGGGCGACCTGGCGCCGGGGCAGTGCTGCTGGGGGCGGCCGAGTCCGACAGGGCGCGCCTGGAGAAGCTGGACGTGCGGATTGAAAGTCGCTCCAAGGCGGCCCCACCAGCGACCCCGTTCCTGCAGGTAGGGCGGGGCGGGTTTTTATGTCAACATCGATATCAGTTGTTGTAAGGGGGGACCCTGGTGAAACTTTCAACTAGGCTTCAAAATAATGCCAGAAAGTTGAAACTTTGTTTAATTATTAGGTTCAGGTGAGTTCAACTAGGCTTCAAAATAATCCCAGAAAGTTGAAACTTTGTTTAATTATAGGTTCATTATGGTGAGTTCCCAAAAAAAATTCAATCCAAAATGTTGAACGTCTCTGAGAAAAGTGGCTTTTTTGTGTTTTTTTTGAGCGTTGGGGGAAAACTTCCTGCGTCTTTAAAGGGGGCGGGAAAATCTTTAAAATTTTTTGGTTATCCCAAAGTTGTATAAAAAAGATTTTAGGGACGGGAAATTTTAAAATTCAACTTCTGTCCTGAGATTGAGTTTTAAAATTTAAATTTGAAAAAAGTGATTTTTTTGCCCTTTTTTTAAACTTTTAGGCCTTTGTAAAAAAAAAAAAAAGGGCTGATATCAAGATTCCGTCACAAAAATTTGTCGACAAGTCATCAATGAATGAGCCCATGCAAGACACTCATGTAGGTTAAACCCAGGAGAGCAGGAAGTCTTTCAACGAAAAAATTTTTTGTCGACTGCCAAATGTGAAAATTTGAACCCAAACGACAACTGATCTAAATGTTATTTCCTCCAAATGATAAAGAAACTCCCCACTTAGCCTATAGGTGTTCAACCTGTTTTGAATATAAAACCTTCTATGACTTTTTTATCTTGAACTTTAAAAATACATTTTGGCAATTTTGGCAATTTTTTCACCAGGGCCCCCCCCTTACATTTTTCCAATACACTCTGCAAACTAATGTGTGCCCGGCATGCACTTCTTGGCCATGCCCGGGCACACCTTCTTTGCTGCTGCCTCAGGCACACCTTGCTTGTATGCCTGAGGGATGCACCAAGAAGTGTGTGCCTTGGGGTTTGGGGGTGCGTGCTTGGCACAAACTTGGGTTGCAGGCACACACTAAATGTCATGGGACATTTTTTTTTTACGGGTTATGCATGCAAATTTAAGCACACCTACGCTGATACAATTTGTTCCCGCCTGGCGAATTTTGTCCGACGACTAAAATTTTATAGACAATTTGCCCCCTCTGGCGCACATAAAAATTTCTTCACCATCGGTTGCGCCCAAAATTGCTTTATTCATGGGGCAGAAAAAGTGCCATCATGTTTTATATCGAATATTTAATTGTTGTGTTCAATGTTTGAACAACTCCTTTGTTTTCACAGTTTTTAGGAATCTTCACTTTTAAAAAAACTTCTCTTACAGTTTTCTTTGTGACGGGACCACGTATTGTTCGCTTTTTCTCAATTTTGTCAATAAAAAGGCAAGTATTTTTATATTGGTATTGGTTCACCATTTCCCTATGTTGAAAATTTATTGGGAAATTTTAATGAAAGATATTGGAATTTGCAGTTTTAAGATATTGAAACTGTATTCAATGCATTGAAACACCGTCCCCCCTTTGCCTGCAGGCGCTGTGCTTCGCGCTGCCGAGCATGCCGCTGCTCAAGGAGCTCACCGTGGACTCTGTCTACGAAGAGGCGCTGCTCGGCGTCGTCTGCCCCCAAGCACGCCGTCGCTGAGGATGCTCCGCATCGAGGCCAAAACCCCCTGCCGCCGCACTGCTGCCCGCCTGGCTGCCCGGCCGGCCGTCAGGGCGTGCGTCTCGCGCAACCCGGCTGCACCTGGTGGTGAAGCGGCCCGCGGCCTGCCAGTGCCACCTCTGCGCCGGCCTGGCGTGCTACTGCCTGGCGCACGCCGACAGGCACAAGGCCCTGGGCCTCGTCGGCCACGCCGCGGGCACGGACGAGCTCTGCACCGACACCAAAGAAGTCTTCGGGGGAACCTGCTGGATTGTCATCTCGTGAGCCCCTCGCGTTTTCATGCTGCTGTAGTGGTGTCACTCGTTAGTGTATTGCTCTGCTCAGTGCTTTCTCCACTTACATAAGGCCCTTTTTGTTTGTTGGAAAGGGAAATTTACACAGCCCTTTTTCCCCATTGAAACCGGCAAACTGCTGGAGTATTTTTGTTCTATAATTTTTCTGGAGTGAATAAACAATAGCAAATCAGTGATCAAACCATTTCTTGTTACCTTCAATAACTTTCCGCCAAAAAAGTAACTATTTGAGTTATTTCTAATCAGATGTCAAACCCCGGCACTTAAGACTGTTCACAACAAAGGAATGAAAGAGACTTTCTGCAACACGTATTTTTTGGCGTACGATTTTCGTTTTATCCATTCCATTTCCTTAAGGTTCCAAAAGAGATGTGAAGTGTTACATTACCATTTGCATTCAAGCGCGGATCCAAGGGGGGGGGCACCGGGGGCGAGTGCCCCCCCCCAAAACCTCAGACGCGCATGGGAAAAAAGGGAAAGAAGGGAGAAAGAGAGGAGGGACGAAAGAGGAGAGGAGAAGAAAAGGAAAGAATGAGTAAAGATAAGCGGAAAAATTGGAAAGTTTGAATTTCAAGTGCGGAGCTTTCAGCTCGCTTCGCTCGCAACATGGAACAGGCTTGGTGCACAAGTAATTGCCGTTTCGGTCTAAGTCATAGCCTTGAAACGAATAGGAATAAAGAATAGTATTGGTGGTTTGATGCGGACCTGGGTAGCTGGTTCTGCTATCGGGAAATTGTTTTAGTCTTTCATAAGAAACCTCTTCAACTAAACGCCAGTCTAAATTTGAACGGCCCATGGCTTGGGGTTTGCTTCGCTCGCAAAGTATCTGTGTTTCTCTGCTTTTTAGATTCAAAACTTTGGACTCTTGTTAAAATTGAGCCTCGATTTTGAGAAAGTATGAAGCTTGCGGCTCGCTACGCTCGCCGGCAATAACTACATCCATCCTTTAACCCATAAACAAACCCGTAGGGTTACTTATTAGAAACCTTTCTAGATCTAATTAAACGCCACTCCTAATTTTGAAACATCAGTGGCTTGTGGCTCCCTCTCCTCTGTTGTTTTCACATAAAAACCTTAAAAAAGAACAAAAATTCAGCCCAAATTTAAACAAGGTCGGTAGCTTGCGGCTCGCTTTGCTCGCCGCAAACCACGCGACTTGTATAGTTCAAAACCTGCTATCCACTCACACTTCGATTAAGAGTATTCAAATGCGTACTTTGCTGCGAGAATGGCCCACTATACTCTTTTAACGGTCAATGCGGCGGAACGTCTCAATAT